GATATTATAACATAGTTCTCAATATTTTGCCCACTATGTAATTAAACAGAATTATAACGAGTTCAATAATTACTGACTAGTAGTACACCAAAATGATTTCACAAGTTTATAAATATTTCAAAATCTCTTTTAGTTTCATTGTCCTCAGAAAACCAGAAATATCACTAAATTAAATGGTTGCTTACTTGTCATTTAGTCAGACATCATATTTTTAATTTGTATATTACCAAAGACATCTTTCCCTGATTACTTTTGGTTTATTAAAAAGAAAAATTTATTCTTCTTAAATACAAAGTGAAGTCTAAATTAATTAAATAGCTACTGAAATTTCACCTGAAATTTTAAACAGCTAGAAATCTACAAGAGGAAAAGGTAAACACATTAGGTTTTTTTTTTTTTTTTTGAGATAGGGTCTTGCTCTGTTGCCTTGGCTAGAGAGCAGTGGTGGTATCATCCTAGCTCACTGCAACCTCAGACTCCTGGGCTCAAGCCATCCTCTTGCCTCAGCCTTCCAGGTAGCTAGGACTATAGGTGTACTCCATCATGCCCAGCTAATTTTTCTATTTTTGTAGACACCAGGTCTCCTCTTGCTCAGGCTGGTCTCAAACTCCTAGGCTGAAGCGAACCTCCCACCTTGACCCCACAAAGTGCTCGGATTACAGGTGTGAGCTACCGTGCCCAGCCTACATTAGCTTTAATACAGCTAGTATATAATAAAAACTTCCAAAGTCATTTTGGGAAGATTAAGGCAAGAGGAAAAGTTGATTAAAGTATGCTCACTAAAAGTCCTGTCATCAACATTTTTATTTAGTTTAGAATATGCTAGAATATAAATACAAAACAATATGCCCTTTCCTATCACAGGTAGTCTTTTACACAACTAAAGTTTGTGGCTAACAGTATATATATAGCAAAAGAAAACCTAAATTTGTAAGTTATCAGAAAAGAAGCAAGGATATAGGAAAATAATAACATTTTATATAAATTATAGAGGATTGTTACAATGAAAATCCATGACTTTCCTCTCTAACTCAACTTTACAAAATAAAGTCAACATGTACTGTTCCGTGAGCTGCGAAGAGTACACAAACACTGTGGCCCTTTCAAAAGACAGTGGTCAAAGACGAAATATTATCTTGACATCATACATCGTTCTCAGTTCTTAACTGGAGTTGAGCTTCCTTTCATAGTCTTCTTTAGGTGGTGGTAATTTGGCAAGATTTTCATCAAGAAATCCAGCTGTAGTGTCTGGGGCTAAAAAGGTAAGACAATTAAGACTGACTGGCAGAAGGCAAAGTGAAGGGTAACAGGTAGAAATGGTTATTACTAGGACATGGAATTACAGGTGATTTTCATTGACTTATCTATTTTTTAAAATTTACAATGGACATTTCTTAAGTTCGGTTATAAGAAAAAGCCAAAAGATTATATATATAAAAATATGCGGAAATCAGTTTTCCAACTCATTTTTGTAGATTTCATCCTGGCTTCCAAAAAGTTAAAAGGTTCCAATTATAGAAGACCATGTACATAAAACACCCAGAGTATATCACTTTGCACATGACCTACAGAGCCACAAGGCTGAGATACACTGATCTGATCATCACTCTTCACGGACCAGCATTGCCCAAATTTTCCTGATTGTGAAACTCACTATGGGTACTTGTGAAAAATACGGATTTTTAGACCCCTACCCTGCGATTCAATAAGTCTGGGGAATCTTTATTTTAAATAAAGACCTCTACAGAATCCTTATGATCCGTGAAATCTGGAAGACAGTATTGCAGACCACTAAATACTAAACTTCAGATATTCTTGCTCACTTAATTCTAATCTCCCTTCCCCAACTCCAGCTTTGTTTCTCCCTCTTCAGTCACTTTTGTTGCTGTGCAGAAAGTCAGTAAAAAAAAAAATTACTGGATTTGTTTTTATTTCCTTTTTAGTCTATAGAAGTAATACTTGCTTATAATAATAATAAAGCCAAACATTACAGAAATAGAGTAACGTAGAAAGAACTGGAGTTTTAATATCTGATAAAATATGGCTAAGAATCAGAGGCAAAGTGATAAATGTCTCGAAAATATTTTCCTTTGGGGGAGGGACAGGGGACTGGGTAACTAAAGAAATACATATTGAATATGCGAAGCAATGAGACTCAAAACTTCAGTCTGAATGTCTCGTGTGCAAAGGGAGTCCCAAATGCCCTAACTTCTTCATCTCCTACTTGAACACTAAACTCCAAATATGTACTCGTCATTATCCTTGATCTTGGTTATTGGAGGGGGATAATTTCTTATAAGCCAGGAAAATATCCAAACACATTTGCTTACTCATAATCTGTGTTTACTATCAAGCTATGATAATAAGCTAACAGACCAAGTTAGAGGCCCTGCATAAATCTGGTAGGGCATTTCTTACCCTTGCAGATCGGTATTTTAGAAGTGAATAGACATGGTAAGGTCTGGTGACGCATCTTCAGAGAAAACACGTAAGACCAGGAATAACGTCTCTGGATTTTCTTTTCTCATAACCAACCTGTCATTGTCATCGTTGTATATATTACTTTTGATATTAACCTAAAGACTAAATTGAACTGCAAATAAATCCTGGTTTTAGTAATATTTCTCTGATGTTTTATTTTAATCATTTTCCTTTTAAATAGTGTACTTGCTGCCTCATTAAGACAATTACATAGTATTTTGGGAAAATCAGCAGCCCTAGATAGAACTCTTTTTAAAGAGAGGTCCTTGTACCTGTGGTCGTTCAGTCTGCACCCGACGAAGGCAGTCTGCACCATAGATCACCGTATTCTCGGGGATGACTTCAAAAGTATTTAAGTTGCAACAAGCCCCAATGATGCAACCACTTGTCAATATCACATTTCTGCCTACATATGCTGCAGTAAACTTAAGACATCACGTGATTGCAATACTGTTTTTCTAAGATGATTTAGGTTTAAAAATGTAAACTGGGCCAGGTGCGGTGGCTCATGTTGGTAATATCAGCACTTTGGGAGGCCAAGGTGGGAGGATCGCTTGAGGTCAGGAGTTTGAGACCAGCCTTGGTAACATGGCAAGATCTGTCTTTACAAAAAAAATTTTAAAAATTTAGCTGGGAATGGTGGCACACGTCTGTAGCCCTAGCTACTTGGGAGGCTGAGGCAGGAGGATCACTTGAGCCCAGGAATTCGAGGTTAAAGTGAGCTGTGATGACACCACTGCACTCTAGCCAGGGCAACAGAGATCCTATCTCAAAAAAAAAAGAAACTAGCTTTAAGAAAAAAATTAAAATTAAAGAAAATGCTTCAGTTCAGAGTTTGTAAAGAGAGCACAGAGGCGGGCAGTACATACCAGTGTCAGGTGGATTCAAAACAGAGCTCTGCTGCTAACTATTTGTGCGACCTTGGGCAAGTCACTGTAAAGTCTGTAAGCTCAAGTTTATCTACCGAATGGAGAGATCAGCCTACTTCACAGTTTACTTTAAGGAATAAATGAGATAATAAACGTAAATACCGAGCACAGGTTTGACACACAGTAAGCATGTAATAGAAAATGCCAATGATAATAACTGATAATCCAAATTAAAATAAAACCCATTAAGTAGATTAACAAAAAGTAAAATTTTATTATTTAAAAGAAGCATTTTCTTTCATGCCAGTTAGGACCAAGAAAGATAAGCCACTACTGTACAGAAGTGTGATCATTCGGGTTCCTTCTGGACCTTAACAAGACAAGCTCTTAGAGCTGCTTCCAAGTAGTCATGGTGACTTCATGTGACCCCCGCTGCCTGGTCGCATTCGTGGTAGGTAGAAACATTTGTTTCTGACTGGCTGGGGTAAAGTAGTCCCGAAACTAAGGAAAGCAAACCGTTAGAGAAACTGATTTTTTTCTTTTAATTCTACAATAACACTAATCAATTAAAAATATCATAGACACTAGTATTTAGTAGAATTCTTTTTTGAATCTTTCATTTAAACTTTATGGTTTTGCCTGGCACGGTGGCTCATGCCTTTAGTCCTAGCTACTTGGGAGGGTGAGGTGGAGGATTGCTTGTGGCCAGGAGTTTGAGGCCAGCCTGGGCAACATAGTGAGACCCCCATCTCAAAAATAAATAAATAAATAAATAAAATAAGCGTAATGGTTTAATTTAATCCTGACTTAAATGTACATAGTTGACTTTTTATTTACTATATTTAACCATATTACCAGATAACCACATAACCAGACTAGGTTCCTTAGAGGCAAAGAATTAGTTTGATAGCTATTTTAGTCCCTTTCCAAGTATATTATCTTACCACAATTTGTACTTAGGTTGTTTCCCAGGACACCACAAAGAGAAAAGAGGTAATCAATTTGACAACAGAACTCTGAATATAGCTTACCTTTTGATTCAATGACATTATTATCTCCCATCTTCATGGCTTGGGAATCTGTAAGCCGGAGTTAAGTAAATAGTGTAAATATGTTCATCTTCTTTCTCTACTAATATAGTAGGTCCCAATTCTGCACTGGGGCACAGAACAGAGGTGTGAGAAGGGCTGTGCAGGCCCCCCTTTGCCAGAACTCTTTGTTCAGCGCAATCTGTAGCAAGGTTTCAATCTTTAAACATAAATTATCTCCAGGTATAAATAAACGATTTCTACGTTTTTTAAAGAAATAAATACCTTATACACTGATTTTATGAGTAATATATTTTCATAATTATTTTAAGAAAG